CCTCCGCAGCCCTAAAACACCGAAGGGGGCTCGGGACACGGGCGGTGCTGCTTGCGAGCCTCGGTGACAAGTGTTCAGTGAGGTGTGCGGCGTGCTGCCTATGCCCACCATAATTTGTTTATCTGTCCAAAGATTATGCAGTTGAAAATCCACAATTTTATGCTGCCTTTGTAAATTACCACGCTGCGTTTGATGAATGTTTCCCCACTTCCGTGGAGGCGCCGTTCCGTCCGCGAGACGGGAAGGTGCTCATGCATGCAGTGCCGAAGCTTGTGTTTTCATCCCTTCTGGCAGGCGCCCATGCTGGAAAGTAAATCTGACCTTAAGCTTCCCACTGCATTAAAGATAATTCAGTTTTAACTCGATAGTCTCAGATGCTTCAGCTGTGGATATAAAATTCCAGAGCCGAGTGCTGACCAGCAGCAAACCCCTTCCCGAGGCGCCCGGAATACAGGCACCCGCCGGGAAATGCACACGCAGCCGTGAATTACTATGCACAGATTGCTTTGTGTAGTGGTATGGAATTCGGTGTCTGTTCTCATTTGAACACTGAGTTCTAAGCTCATAGAACAGTCAAAAACAAATGAAAGTGGGAAAAGTGGAACTAGATGGGCTGCCTCAGTCAGAGGGCACACCCGCACAGAAAGCTGGGGCTGCACCACTCCTGTGAACAGGGTCCCCTGCAACTCCCCCGAGAGCCCAGGAGCATGTCCAGGCGAGGGGAGCTTGGAAGCGGGGCCAGCACTCGACTCCGCACACGACCCCTCCTAGAGGCAGATACCTCTTGGCCGAAAGGGACAGGGCCAAGGTGCTGAGGTGCTGCCATGCCACCAGAGCCTTTGGTCCGTGGGCTGGCCTCTCTCTCAGGGGCCAGGCTGGACGGGTGGCAGAGGCTGGGGAGGTACTTGCAGGGGCCAAACCCCCCATCTCTCTGCCCCCACAAAACCCTGATGTTCCTGCTGGTCAGCTCCCCACTGGACGCAGGATGCCCCACCTCCCCACACCCACCCATCTCTGTTTCCCCTTTCCAGTCGGAGAGCGAGGAGAAGGTTGTCACCTATGACCACATTGGGCCCAACGTCTGCATGGGAGACCACAAGGTGACGTAGACTGAAGTCCAGGGGCCGGGCCGGGGGACCGGGGGAAGCTAGGGAGCCGGGGAGCTGGGGCCGGTGGGCGGGTGGGGGCTGGGGCTGGCAGGCAGGTGGGTGGGGGTTGGCCAGTCTCTCCTCTCCTGCTTTCCTGTTTTCTTAGTCTGACTCTACAGAGTAGGCCAAGTTGGTCTGTTTTGATTTAATTTTAATAAAGTATCATAAGCTAAGTGGGTAAGTAGGAAGAAGGCAGAAATGACTAGTTACAATAGAATAAAATACATCATTTTACTATTTGTAAAAAACGTCCACCGCTGATCGTTTCTGACGGCTGTTTTGCAAGTACGCAGCCGCAGTGTTTTAATGGCCTTCTTGGGGCAGGCTCACCATCAGCCGGGGAGCCGGGGTGAGGGCGCTCCCACCGTGTGCCAAGGGGCGGCACTGGCACAAATGGTTTATTCAGGCAACTGCACCTCGAGAGTGTGCACAGGTGACATATCAAATCTCATTTTCAGCCAAATAAATGAGTTACCTTCTTCCACGTTGGAGACCCAGAGCTGTGAGCCCCAAACACACGCCAAGAAGGCGCTGGACCTGCCAGGTGCAGCAGAGCCGAGGATGGGAGAGCCTCCCTTCCCCGCTTCATTCGGGGCCTGTTTAGCCATTATTTTGGATCAGTTTTCCCATTAAGTTCTCACCTGGAAATAACACCTTTCTTGCAAAACCTCTCATGGCCGGCCTGGCTCCAAATCCACATTCACGGGGCTCCCAACCCCTGCTCTGCGGTGGCTGCACACAAGGGCCGAGCTGCCTCTGCTGGCCATCAGCTCCTCCCAGCCCGGTTCATGGCTGCCCTTGTGAGACGCAGGGTCCAGGGGTGAGACGGGAGATGGCGGCGTGTGCTGGGCTGTCCCGCATGCACCGTGCTGACACCCTCCTCTCTTCCTGCTGCAGCCCGTGTTCCTGGCCTTCCGAATCATGCCCGGGGCAGGTAAACCTCATGCCCGTGTGCACAAGTGTTGTGTCGTGCAGTGACGTGGTGGTAAATATGACTCCTCCCTCTAGTTCAGCTTTTACACAGCTTTTCCTGGTGCGTTTGTTCCTTTAACAAATTACGAATTCCATGCCAGGGAAGAGATGCCAGCGCCACGAGAGGACCCTTCGTGAGCCCTCCCTGTAGCCGTGTACTGAATACGCACCTTCAAAGCTGCATCGAGAACCCACCCAAGCGCCACCTGCTAGACGGCCAGCCCCACACTTCGCTTCAGCCTCCGGACCATTCCGGAACAGCCTCACATACCTCACTGTCTCGTCTGTTCATGTGACATTAAGTAGAAATATTGGTTTTTTAAAAATAAGTCACAGTCCTGTTGTCAAAACTCTAATAGACAGCAAAGAGGGTCTGTACCGTAGACTTCACAGTTTTCAGTTTTTAATGATTGTCAGTGGAGGGGCTTCTCCAGCACAGAGACCCCACCCCTCCCCCGTGTCCAGAGACCCCCCTCTGCCAGGTGGAGGTGTGTCCAGGGGCTGGGGAAGCCAAGATGGGCGCTCCCTCTGCCGGCCGGCAGCGTGGCCCCCAGCATGGCGAAGGGGTCTGTCTCTGCCGATGCCCCTTCCGCGGCACTCTGCGCCGTGTCACATGGTTTTTGAATCACACTGCAGCTGCTTTCCATTTTTATATATATATAAATATATATAAATATATACTTTTTAAAAATAATTTATAAATCTTACCAAAACTTATGCTAAATGTACTTTCCAGTATGAATGCACAAGAGAGTCCCATCAGCAGGCAGCATAGGAGTCTAGGAGCTCAGCTGTGTGTCCATCAACACACACATTCGTAAAAAAACACATGGCCTCGCCATCGTGGGTGAAATCGGCCCCACAGCACGTCTGCACTGGCGGGCCGTTACTCCCGTGCCGTTCTTCTGTGTAATATTAAGAACTGAATGTGAAGTTTATAGCTAGCCTGGGTGTACCTTTTAAGAATTTTGTAAACCGTTTGTCTGTCTTTTGTTACTGTTTTATGGTGCCAAGTATTCTACATTACAACAATAATATCATGGGAGAAATAGAAATAGCCTAGTTTGCTTCCAATAGAAATTGCTTTTAACATGGGCTGTATATAAAAATATTAAAGAGAAACAAAACTGTACATTTCCTCATTGCTCCGCTACAAACAACCCATGTAATAACCTTGTTGCAAATATTTTTCTCCTAGCACTAAGTACAGCATTAAAAGGTGATTAGAGAGTCTGTTGATGAAACACAAATATATGTTTTATTGATTTTACTTTAGAACACTACAGAGTTCCTGGACCAGGTGAAGGCATTAGGTGGGTGTTTGTTTTTGGATAAATCACTACCATTGCAAGTGACTGCTGTCCGCTGCGGAATCCGCTCTTGGTGGAAGGACCGGTCCCTGTCCCTGCTGTGGTTGCCACGGTCCGCAGTTCAACACGGAGTCCGCCCCACGGGTTTCAGCTGTTGGTCGTTCTGAGGGCCTTTAGAAGTGACTGGCCTGGTTCCTAAGCAATAAAATTGACCATGGTGAAAACAGTCCCGTGTTGCTTTGTTTTCCTTCCTTTCCCTTCTCCTGCCGCCTTTGAAATGCTAACTCAGGGGAGCGGCCTCCTGTATACCCTGTTACTTGAGATCAAGCTCATTAGAAATCCCGGCATTTCACTGTATCACACACTGTCACAAAACACCAAGCCGCTCCTTGAGAGGAGAAAAACAGCCTTTTGGACCTTCTACTGTAATAAAGGATTTATCCCTCATCATTTTAAAACAGGATTATATAAATGCTTTGCCTTCCTCAAAACTTTAAAACTGGAAGCCCGTCTGCTCTGCGCTGAGCTGAGGGAGGCTCCCCACAGAAAAGCGTTGCTTCTGCCCTTCAGGTTGCCTCCTTGTGAAGGCTGCCAAGAGTCTAAAACAAAATGCGCCGAGTTGAAGCCGCTTGTATTTCTCTTTAACGTTTCCGAAAATGCCTTCCAAGAGAAATCGTACCAGCGCAATGATATAATTATTTACATTTAATTTTTTAAAATTAAAACGCAACAGCCCCATTAAGATGCAGCGATGGGCAGACCCGGCCACAGAGGCTGCGGGAGGGTGGACGGGTTTTGTCAGCCGGAGTCACAGCCCCGCGGAGCCGGCGGCATTTCAGGGCAGCCCCTGGCCGGGCGCTGCGGGCCTCGCCTCCCGCTCCCTGACCCCGCGTGCCCCGTGGGAGGCCCCGCCGTTCCGCGGGCGGACTTATTTCGGATTTCTCTTTGCGATCCTAGTTTGGAAGAAACTGCTTCCCACCGCGGAAAGATATAGCGGGATGGTGACCGAAGGGCCACCGTGCAGCGGCTCCGACCCGGTTCCACCGGCTGAGCCCAGGGCGCGCCTGTGGGATGCTCCGTTTACGCGCAGAGAGATTTGGAAATAATCGGAGCAAACCCCTCGGCCGAGCGGGAACCGGTGCCCGGCGGCGACCAGTACGCGGCCCCAAAGCGGGAAAAGCGAAGAAAGAAAAACGTCCCGCGGGGACTCGAGGCGGGTACGCGGCTCACCCGCCCTTTCGGGGCCCCCCAAGCGCGTCCGAATCCGCCCCGAGGCGAGGCGGGCCGGGCCGTACCTGCTGCTCCGTCCCCGGCTCTGTCCCGGGCTCCTGGCGGCTGTCGCTGCGGTTCCTTCCCGCGGGCTGGGCCCCTTCCCTGCGCCTTCGCCGCCTCCTCGCGCCTGTCCGGGGCCCGCAGCCTCCGCACCGGGAACCCGGAGGACCCGAGGCCGCCGCGCGCCCCAAGTCGGGTCCCGCAGGGGCGAAGCCGCGGCCGGGGAGGGGCCGCCTCGCTCCGGGTTCGAGACGGAAGAAACACGCGGCGCAGGCTCCGGAGCGGCGGCTCCGACGGGGACGCGTTAAATAATTTATTGATGATACAAAGCGACTCGCGCCCACCGGGGCCGCCCCCGGATTCTGCAAAAATAGACTCGCCCCCACCCCGCGCGTCCTCACAAGGCGTCCCCCGCGCCGCCGCCGCACGGGCTGACCAGCGCCAAGTTCGAGGGTTTGTGCTTCTTGAGCAGCCGCGTGATCTTCTCGTCGTCCGAGTTGGGGTCCAGGGGCCGGTTGTATTCGTCGTCGTCCTCCGCGTCCGAGCCGCCCACCTTCAGCTTCTCGGCGTCGGAGTCCTGCTTCTTCTTGGCCGACGCCATCTCCGCCGCGTGCCGCTTGCGCCACTTGGTCCGGCGGTTCTGGAACCAGACCTGGGGGCGGACGGGGCGGTCAGGCGGCCGCGGGGCCCGGGGCTGGCGCTGGGGCTGTGGCCGTTCGCAGGACGCGGGCCCCCGGCTCTGCTCTCCCGGGCCCCGCCGCGCTCACCTTCACCTGGCTCTCGGTCATGCCCAGCGAGTAGGCGAGACGCGCGCGCTCCGGGCCCGCCAGGTACTTGGTTTGCTCGAAGGTTTTCTCCAGCGCGAAGATCTGCTGGCCCGAGAAGGTCGGGCGCGAGTGCTTCTTCTTCCCGTCCTTGTCCAGGACGCCGCTGGCTGGGGCTGCAAGGGAGGGGAGGGGAGGGGGGTCAGCGGCCGGCGGGGTCCCCTCCGCGCCCTCCCGCCCCGCACCCCCCGCGCGGGCCACTCACCCGGGCCGGCCAGACGCGGGTCCCTCCACGGCGCGCCCTGCACCACGCCGGGCCAGAAGATGGGCGGGCGCCCGGGCAGCTCGGCCAGGGGCTTGGGGTAGCCGCGCGTCACGGCGGCCGCGGGTCCAAAGTAGACGCCGGCGGACGAGGCGAGCCCGTTGAGCCGGGGCAGTCCCCCTAGGAGGCCCCCGCCCGCCGCGCCCACGGGCCGGCCCAGGATGTCGCTGATGCCGTGCGGGGTCCCGAGCGGGAGCTGCGCGCCCAGGCCCCCCAGCGCGGGCGCCTTGAAGCCGGCCGGACCCTGCAGCGCGTAGGGGAACAGCGACGTCTTCATCTCGGCCATGTTGTGCAGCGCGGCCAGCGGGGCACTGCTCAGCACGAACGCGCCCGGGCGGTTAGTGTCCATGGGCGCCGCCGCCGCCGGCCCGGGCTCCCATCCGGGCCCCGCCGCCGCCGCCCCTGCCCGCCGG